CCCCCCCTATTCGCCCCATAGGGCTTGGTCATCAACGAGTTCGAGGGCAACGAGGACTATATCTTCCCCGCCCCCGAAGGCGTGCCTATCACGCCGGAGCAGATCTACGAGTCGTTCCTGGAGGCCTACGGCTTCGGGCAGAGAGGGAACCACAGCGATGTGCTGGGCCAGGTTTTGTGGATCCTGGTGGCAAGCCTGGTGATGTTCCGGCTGCTAACTTTGATCGGCCTCAAATATATTTCTTTCGAGCGGCGCTGATATGTGGGAAATTCTATGGAAGGCCGGGTGGAGGGTATGCCCTACGGAAGACCGTGGTCGGCCTCCAGTACACCACCTTCCAGGCGCTGATTATGGAAATTCCATCGATACATGCCATGAGAGACCGGAGGGTGGTATGTACCATGGGAGACAGGGAGGGTCATCGAATGAGGTTGTGGTTCCTCGCATTTTTGCGCATGTGTGTCTCTGTACCGCTACGATGATGATGATGATGATGATGATGAAGATGATGATGACCCTGCAGCAGTAGTTGTGATTTGTTTCGCTCGATCGTTTCGTTGCTTGTGCCTACCTGGGCCCCTTTGCAGCGGGGGGTGATGTGATGTGTGCCATCGATGTAGCAGGCGGTGAGGCAGAGCAGCGAGAGGTAGCGCTGACCCGTCAACCCTGAGTCGGTGTCTTGGTAGGGCTCCGGTGTGGAGGCGGGCCCCCCGGGGGGGGGGNGGGGGCTCCGTGCGATGCCGCATTCGTGTTCGAAACAAATTCGTACCTCAAGGGATCAAGCCGTGTGCCCTCTTGTGAGCGGGGGCCATGTTATGACGGCTTCATTTTTTGTCTTGGGTGTTAATGGTCGACTTCACCGGATGTTGAACTCCGTTGATTTGTGAGTACAGCATCATAGGGTAGCCAAGAACCCGAGGATGAGATATGTGTCCCAACGAGCCTTCATAAGGCAAACGCTGCTTGTGGGCAAAGGTTGGGCGTGTGTATTGTTTGTTTTTTCTCGATTTCGTTGGGCGGTTTTTGTTTTGGCTTGTGTTTTTGGAGAGACTTAAGAGGCTTATAGGCGCGTGTTACTTGGACGGAAGCTTGCGACAATGTCGCTCACGCTCAAACGTTGATTGAGTGAGGTCCACCCATGTGCGCGCCGAGGTTCAGTCCTATCCGGCGGGCCGGGGTGCGGGATTCTTCCGTAGACTCGACACTGATCACCGGTGCATGCTTGTATAACCCCCAGTTCCCTCCCTAGCATCGGTAGCGTTTCATGTTGTGAGTTCGGGCGGACGATTGAAACGGCATTTTGATTCGGGGGTTATGGAGATGGGTATCGGGGTGTAGGGAGACAAAGAGGGCTAGTGGCCGTAGAGTACGCAAAATAGAGTAAAAGACGCGGGTGTCTGACGCACACGTTCGGCACTTGCGAGACGAGAAGGCGGCTGCGATAGGATTCAGGAATGTGAACGCGGTATGCAGCATATGATTTGAGTTCGAAGCAAAGGCAGTAGAGGATTGCTGTATTGGGCAAGCTCCCGTCGATTGTTCACAACTGGCGAGTGTTGCACAGTCGTTTGGCATAGCATGCGAGGGCGGAGCACGATGAAGGGCTGCTGAGGAGTGAGGAAACGGATTCTATACTTTGGATTCTTCTTATGTTTTGGCTGTTTTGTAAGCGTAGTGACAGGAAGGTAGGCAGGTCAGCCAAGTAGAATGTGGGTTGATTTTGGGAACTAAATGTGTCTGATCCATGTGTAGCAAACTCATCAAGTAAATCGTTGGATGAATGGTGGCCCTTCGCATGGACAAAACGAAAGTATTTCGCAACGAACGAGCTGGGTTCGACGCCGTACTGATGGTGCGAGTGGAAATGAAATTGACGCGGTGTTGCTGGAAAGGTATGCATTCTGATGGTAGTGTCGGCGGTGTGATAGCCGTCCGATTTTTTTGTCCATCATCCGGCAAGTCGCTTGTTTCTCCTCTCGCTCCCAGTTTTCGCCTACGCTTCCCTCAAGGAGAGAGGTAAACAGCAGTACCTTGTACAAGCACATTGTGATCGCTGCTGGTCGCAAGAACCGTCGTTGGCAGGCGGCACCTTCTTGTTCAGAAACAGGAACAGCGTGTGAAACTTTTTCCGTTCGCGCAGATGAAAGAAGCCAGCGTTTCTCTGACGTACATGGTCCCTAGAGTACTTCGAAGGACTCTCAACAACACGCCGCCAATGATACCCGCCTGGAGCTGCCTGGAGTAAGCAGTCGAAGCATCATGTTTACAACCTACAGCAGTACTTCGTTGCAGTATTTTCGGCATAAAAGCATCTTCGAAAATGGTAATACGCATCCTTGTAAGCTGTGTAACGCATGCGCATGCACCTCCAGGTGTCAATATTGTTCATCGTGCGATATTCACGTCATGCTACTGCTGCTGCGGCTGTTGCTGCGGCTGCTGCTGTGTATGCGCGGCCCACCCTCCCCAACGGTGGCAAAGACTCATGTTTTGGAAACCCAATTCTTAGCCGCGGGCCCCCACTGCCACATCATTTGCAACAGTAGTCAATTGCTGTCGGGTAGGTCGCTCCTTGCCCTCTGCCTCATCGCGACGGGCAGAGAGACCAGGGATGAGGTGGAGGAGGAGGATGAACCTGAGTGTAGCCTTGCTGTTCGTAGCTCACGCTTGTTGGTATGCATCTACGACGGCGGCTGCTGTTGCAGCGTCAAGGGCAGCAGCAGCAGCAGCAGCAGCAGCAGCGCACGGACGGTCGGCTTTTGCTGCGTACAGCGCCGCCAAGGCGGTGAGGTTGCGACTCGGCGGCGGCCGCAGCAGCAGCTACTGCAGCAGTAGCAGAAGAAGCTGCGGCACTGAGGCGGGGGGCATCCGGAGCAGGGCGCGGTTCGGGACACCGCCGCCGCCGCTGCCGCAGCCGGCGACGCTGCTGGGTCGTCGTCCTGCTGGGAGGAGAGGGCAGTGTCTCATGGGTGTCGCCGGTCTGACGGGGTACATCAACAAGAACCTGCGGGGGGCGGTAGCCATGGAGGACCTGCGAGAGGTGAGAGCTATCAGCTTGCAACATGGGCAACTCTCTTTTAGGAGACGATGGTGCATTGCACAGCAGAGCGCTGCTGCTGCTGTCCGGACTGTACTGCATGCAGTCTGTTCGTACGCATACGGGTGTTACTGATGTGTCATGATCGCCCAACGGGCGGTGTGTGTACGTACAACTACAATGAACGACCGGGTCGTGTGCCCCTGCTCCTCAGTTGAGCACGCCCGGCGCAACGCACGCCGGTGGCAAATATAGAGTTCAACACCGCATACGAAGCCAAGAGCGAAATCATGCATCCCACACAAAGCTCTCCACAAGCCCGTGAATTCACTGCCGTACAGTACTACACTGTACACTGACTTCATAATCCACCGTCAACAAGGAACACAACAACGCCATTTTTGGTCGGTCCAACCAGCGCATCTTGTGCTTCCGCTCGCCCTCTGAAAAGGGCAGACAAAAGTCCCGCGATAGCGTCTTGTGACCACGGCAGAGCCAAACTGAGAAAGCGTTGAGTGCGTGCAAAGAGGCCAGAAACCCCGTCGAGTGTATTCAAATCGTTCACCCTGCGTATCTATTTCTGTAGAAACCAAGGCACCGCGTGTATTCCACGCCCAAGGATCACCCCGACGACGTGATAAAAACACGTACAGCACAACAATCGCAGACGCTCCTTGTACCGCAGCAGTGGCGAAGCGGCACCAAAATAACGATGACATTTACCTCTTTTATCTCGATCAGCAGCAGCTGTTCTTCGGGCGTTCCCCTTGGCTTTTCCATGAACGCGTTCGGGTGTTGCGTGTTGTGCAGTCTGACCTGACACACAGGCGCGGACATGCCTCCGTAGAGCGCAACGAAATTTAGGAGTCATGTCCAGGGGGACTTGCGTTGACAACTGCCCGCGTGAGCGCGCGTGTGCATCGGCAACAACACAACCAGACCAGCCACCCCCATTTCCCCGAGCGGCTGTGGTCTCGAAATCGTCGAAGCCACCGAAACCTGATTGTTGTTGTTGTTGTTGTTGTTGTTGTTTTTCTTCACATAAAACTCGTGTCAGTTGCTAATCCCAAAATCTAGCAAAGACTCGGTCCGTGGTCACAAAAATGCTAGAGCCATCAGAAGATTTAAGGAACACACACACTATTAGCAAGAAAAGGGTGCACAAGCCCGAGGAGGTACACCTACAACTCCTGGAGCACATTTGCGTGCTCACATCTGAACTACACGCCCACACACTACGATTCGACTACAGCAGCAGCATCACCCTGATGGAAGTCATTCGAAGCCTTGTCGAAACCACACGACACGAATACCTATTGTAGAGCAGTTCGCAAGTTGTTGTTGATACCACACGCGGTGCGAAGCACTATGCGGTTCTGAAGTGTGCGTTTAGGCACTCGTGGCAGGCGGTTAAAGGATGTTGTCTTCTCCACTTGTCTCTTTTTGGATGATTTTGTTTTGTGGCAGGCAGCTTCCTGTGTGGTACAACTGTTTTTCTCACGAGGCCGGCGTTGCCCCGAGCTCATCCCACGGTGGAGACCAAATTGGAACATTTTGCGTAGTTGTCGCCTGCAAACGCGAGCCAAGCCTCTGGTTGTTCGGCTTTCTTTCGGGGGACGTTTATTTGTTTGTTCGTGCGTTTGTTGCGGTAATTTGCATGGACCACTCCTTACATCGGCTAGCCAATGACAACTTACGTCAGTCTACACCAATGACGAAATATATGTCAGTCAGTGTTGATACACCCGGACAAGCAAATCAAACGCGAACACGCTCCTTTGGTTTGTGCGCCCGCTCGTGCCGTCCGCTCATGCGTCAAGGGCGACACGCTGGCGATCGATGGATCGGGATGGATGTTCCACCTCCTGGAGGGGCAAAGGGTCGACCACGGGGGCGATTACGACCTCTTGCACAAGACCGTCGTTCGCGAGGTCGGCCGGCTGCGGCAGGTGAGCGCGCGCGGGGGGAGTGGGGGGAGGGGGGGGGGGGCACCGCCGAATGATGTCTCCGGGACAAGGAGTAGGAGGGAACAAAGGTGTGGTGTGCGTACACCGGGCTCGCCTCTGGACAGCGGCAATTCATTCGATNCCGCCGAATGATGTCTCCGGGACAAGGAGTAGGAGGGAACAAAGGTGTGGTGTGCGTACACCGGGCTCGCCTCTGGACAGCGGCAATTCATTCGATGCTTCTATGGCCCCGTTGGACTTCTGCTGGCGCCGACGCCCCACCCGCGAGTCCGCGGTTTTTCGTGCTTCATATCTGGATGGCTCTTGTCCTTGCTTTTTTGTTGTTGCTGCCCCGTTGGGCGGACAAAAAACAACCCTCAAAGGTTATCGGTTCGCGGTCGGAAGAAGCACTGCTCACCTGGTCCGACGCCCTCTTGCTCGGTTTCTTGTTGTTGTGAGGGAGACAGGAGCTGTGGTCATGCTGTGTGAATTTGACGGCATGTATCCACCGCGCTTGACTGTAACCAGGAATTTCTCCGGGTACGATTTTACATTATTAGAGTTGCTTCTGCAGTTTCCGCTAGTAACATTGAAGAAAATTGGCATAACGGTAGCAGCGTGACATTATATTGACAGCTGCCCCCCCCCGCCCCCCCCCCCCCCCCCCNCCCCCCCCCCCCCCCCCCCCCCGTAGGCGGGCCTCAAGCTGCTCGTGTACATGGACGGCCCGACCCGAAAGATGAAGGCCGCTACGAGGGAGCGTCGGCGGGGGCAGGACGGGGATAAGCTCGCGAACCTCTACGCCTACACCCTGGACGGAGGGGGCTCGTTCGCGGGGCCTGGCCAGGCACCGGATCGCAGCGCGGAGGCATTCCCTCTGCCAAAGCTGGCGCAGAGGCAGTTCTACGCCTCCCTCCGCACGACCGGCGTCAAGATCGTCGAGTGAGCTGTAGGGATGTCGGGGGAGGTATTTGTGTGTGTATGCGTCGTTCCCGCTCAAGTGTGTGTGTGTGCGCGCGCGCGTTTTCCGGCTGCTGCGGTGTGTTAGGTACACGGGTGACTGCTGCAGGTTCTCGCCTAGCTTGTGGAACACGAACCGTTGTTCGACGTCAAGAGTACGAACGAAGGCGACAGGAAAAAAAAGAGCCGCATGCGTAGAGCCGGCGGCACGAAGCCTTAAGAACAATCCTAAAATCTACCTCCCCCAATTGCTTGAATGATCAACTAGAGTTCAGCACCCACCACGGTGAGTAGAACGGAAGAGATGTTGTTGTTGTTACTGGCTGCTGCTGCTGCTGCTGCTGCTGCTGCTGCTGTTGTCTTCGCAGTAGCGGGTGTGCGCAGAACACGATATATATGTATATCTTTCAGGGAATGACGGAATCAACAACTAATAGATGACCGCAACCCCATCCGCAGATGCCCCGGCGAGGCTGACCAGGAGATCGCGAAGGCTAGCGCCGAGGACGGGACGGGGAGGACGTTCGCCGTCGGCAGTGACAGCGACTTCTTTATCTTCGAGCGGTGCCGCTATGTTCACTTCGATGATCTTGTGGTGGGTGCTGTTGGTTTGGCCATTTGGGGCGGAAATACGCGGACGTAAGAGACCAAGGGAGACAAAGAGAGAGAGAGACAGAGACAGAGACAGAGACAGAGACAGAGACAGACTTCTTTATCTTCGAGCGGTGCCGCTATGTTGACTTCGATGATCTTGTGGTGGGTGCTGTTGGTTTGGCCATTTGGGGCGGAAATACGCGGACGTAAGAGACCAAGGGAGACAAAGAGAGAGAGAGACAGAGACAGAGACAGAGACAGAGACAGAGACAGACTTCTTTATCTTCGAGCGGTGCCGCTATGTTGACTTCGATGATCTTGTGGTGGGTGCTGTTGGTTTGGCCATTTGGGGCGGAAATACGCGGACGTAAGAGACCAAGGGAGACAAAGAGAGAGAGAGACAGAGACAGAGACAGAGACAGAGACAGAGACAGACTTCTTTATCTTCGAGCGGTGCCGCTATGTTGACTTCGATGATCTTGTGGTGGGTGCTGTTGGTTTGGCCATTTGGGGCGGAAATACGCGGACGTAAGAGACCAAGGGAGACAAAGAGAGAGAGAGACAGAGACAGAGACAGAGACAGAGACAGAGACAGACTTCTTTATCTTCGAGCGGTGCCGCTATGTTGACTTCGATGATCTTGTGGTGGGTGCTGTTGGTTTGGCCATTTGGGGCGGAAATACGCGGACGTAAGAGACCAAGGGAGACAAAGAGAGAGAGAGACAGAGACAGAGACAGAGACAGAGACAGAGACAGAGACACAGAGAGAGAGAAGAGGAGGTGGGAGGAGATGGTAAGATGTGTTTGTGTGTGCTTGTGTTTATTTGAATAACATCGACCTTGCTACAAGCCGGCAGGCCAATTTTCACCGGCCACTCTTATTTCGGGGGATTGAAACGGCGCTCACGTGCGTGACAAGAGAGACAGAGGCAGAGACAGAGAGAGAGAGGGAGCGAGAGAAACACAGAGAACGGGAGCGGGCGACAGAGACAGAGAGACAGAGGGAATGGGAAAGAGGGGACGGGCGTACAAACAGACAGACAAGGAGACAACTGAACAAAGGACAGACGCACAGACAGGGAGAGTCGTCTCTTTTCCCAACCACACCACGCTTTCCCCCCTCCCCCAACCACACCCAAGATCAAGCTACCGCCAAGAGACGAAGAAGGAGACGAGGACAGGGGTGGGGTAGCGCAGGCGAGGGTGTGGACCCGAACGCGCCTGGCGGAGCTGTGCGGGATCAGCGAGCGGCAGGTGGTAGAGTGGGCGATCCTAATGGGGAACGACTACACGAGGGAGCTGTCGTTCAGGACCATCGGGTTTGGTAGCCACCGGAGGCGAAGGCCGGAAAAGGTGGAGTATCGTTGTGTGCTGTATGTCTTGGTGCTCGTGTGCCGTCCGTAAATCGTTCCTGTACGAGAATGTTATCGGCATGTGTGTGTGTTGTTTGCAGCATTCTTGGTGTTGGAGTCTGCCTGTGGCTATCCATCTAGCTACCACGGTAGGATTTTGTTATTGGGAAGGCAGGGACATTGAATGCGCGCGTGTGGAACGATTCGCCACCGACGCCACACACCCATAGCCCTCCCCCCCCTCGTCGTTATGTGCTGCTTGCGAAACCGCCAGACGCTCGAGTATGTGCAGAGCATGGGGCCCGACGTGACGCTAGACGAGAGAATAGAACGTGCTGTGCGGCGAAAGTGGCGGTGGGGCGGGGGGGGNGGGGGGGGGGGGGGGGGGGGGGGGGGGGGGGGGGGGGGGGGGGGGGGGGACGTCATCGCCCTCTGGCTCGAACGAGGATGAGAGCGGCGTCGCCGCCCACGGGCGGGCAAAGGACAATGACGACGACGAAGAGGATGACGACGACGAAGAGGATGACGACGACGAGGACGAGGACGAGGACGAGGACGAGGAGGAGGAGGAGGATGAGGAGGAATGGGACGAGGAGGAGAGGGGAGAGGAAGAAGCCCTCGAGGCCTCGTCCGCCGTGATGATGTCCTCGGGCGTGTCGGTGGGAGCCGCCGATCCCCCCGCGCCGGAGGAAGATCCCTACGAGAAGGCCGCGTGGGGGGGTGCGTTTGTGGAGAGGGCGACGGCGATGGAGTTCTCGCGCGCCATGTACGCGCTGGAGCCGCTGGACCGATTCCCGGACGACCCTGAGGTGCGACCGGCCTACGGCTTCTTTTTTTTTTGGAATCTGTGTTAGACCCATGTTTATGGTTTCCAAATCTTTGTCTTCCTTTTGGGCAAATGTTGACTTGTTCGACCTTTTGGGCAGTCTACCTCCCGAAAGAATGCAAATCAGCTGTTCAACCTTCGAGAGTAGTCACAGCTTTGGCTGGGATGTCTACAGACCGCCAATTTGTTTCGCCAGGGTCCACGTTTGATTGATTTTTTTCCATCAGAGCAAGATGTGCAAGATTCTTCCGAAAGGCCACCTCGGCGCAAATATTCGGCCAAGATCTGTCCAAAAGCTGGTGTTGGAAAAATCTTGCGTGAAAGTTGCGCATCTTGAAATAATCAAACGTGGGCCCTGGCGAAACATATAGGCGATCTGTAGACATCTCAGCCAAAGCTGTGACTATTCTCAAAGGCCGAACAGCTGATTCGCATTCGTTCGGGAGGCAGACTGCCCAAAAGGTCGAATGAATCAACATTTGTCCAAAGAAAGGAAGATAAAGATTTGGTAACCATAAACATGGGTCTTAGCCTAACTTTTCTATTTTGTCCCCCAAATATTTTCTCACCTATTAGAGGCTTGTCTCTTTTCATCAACCACTGCACTACGAAGATCCCACACGCATTCCTGAGCTCGACTTTTCCAGAATCGGCATCGCCACAACAGCAGCGGTAGGAAGTTGTGTGTGTCGAAACGGGTCGCGTTGGAATGACGATGTCGCAACCTATTCTGATCTCCGTGATTCTATGTATTGCTGTACAGCGTTCGTCTCTGCTTGGAGGACGCCAGAATTGAGGATACTGCGCGCTTCTAGAGGACACCATGTTTTCCAGGGGAAGGGTGTCCCCGTAGAATGCGAAAATAATAGAGGGGGGTATACTTGTGGAACGACAACTGCAAGGGCACTTCTCGTCTTGAGAAGGCAAAACTTTTTTGTGTCCATGACGACACTTCCCCGTCTTAAGAATGTAAAACCATGTTCATGAGTACGCTTCAGAGCAGAAGACGACTGGCTTGCATAGCAAACGCTAACCTTCGGCAGCCATCATGGGACCGATCGCTGTAAGTGCGCTTCCCGTCTTGAAAACGAAAAACTATTTTATGTCTTAAGAAGAAGGTAAACCTATGTCCATGAGTACCAAGGAGAGCAAAAAGACGGCTGGCTTCCATACATCAAACGCTGACCCTCGGCAGCACCGTGAAACCGACCGTATGTGCGCGGCGAAGGTAACCGGCACCGGCGCTGCCGATGAGGACGAGGGGCTTGTCGCCGAGCTCGGGGGGCGAGAAGGCGCCGTGGTCTCGCCAAGCGGCGGCGGCGCTGCCGCTGTTGCCCTCGAGGGTGGCGCTGCTGCTAGCCGCCGCGGTCACGCCGCGGCCATCGGGACGAGGGGGGACGGCGGGGGCGACGCCACTGGTGCTGGCGATGCCGGTGAGGGGGGGGGCAACCGGCAGGCGAGGCGACGGAGAGGGAAGCGGGGCGGCGGCGGCGGCGGTGGCGGCGGCGGCGGCGGCTCGAGAGGGATGGGGCCGGACGATTTCTTGAACAAGGTCGGGATTGGCAGCAGGAAGAAGGGGCTCAACCTGAGGTTGACCCAGAACATTCATCAGCAGAAGAAGCCCCTCACGAGACTGGACGTCGTGGAGGCCGAGGTAAGGGGGGTATACATATAACGAAATACCTTTTTTGTTGTGGTGTTTGTATTGGAATTAGCATGGGGAGCCCCGTCGCCGAGGTAAGGGGGGCATATTATTTACATTTTTGTTGTGGTTTTATATATGAGTTAGTACAGGGAGCCCCGTCGCCAAGGTAAGGGGGGAACGGAGTACATTTTTTGTTGTTGTTTTGTATAGGCCTTAGTAAAGGCAGCCCCGTCGGGGAGCCAGGTTCAGTGTACCCCCCTCTAGTCTCGGGGTGGCAGGCATATTCTGCGCGACCTCCCTGATCACACGGTGAGGTAGGATTTGGCATCCCCGTATACCTCCTTCCAGATTCGGGGTTATGCGCGGTTCTGGATTTTCCTTATTTTGGTCAGTCGCGTCGTGTGTTGTGTGCGTGTTTTATGCCCTACGGGTGCGTTGTGTCTGCTGTCTGCTGTGCCCCCGGTATCTGACTGGGAGGGGCCTTTTTTGGGCGTACAGCAGTATAACAGCACAACGGTATTGGACACAAGATAACACACCCCCTGGACCGATTTTTGAAGCTCGATTTGCTGCACAGCAGGAACAGTCGCAGCGCCGAAAACGGCGGCATTGAAGCCGTGTGGTCGAGAGATCTCCGAAAACGCATTATTTCTTTTTTGCATCCTCTTTGTCTTAGAGTAATCGAACTTTGAAAATCGGTCCACGGGGTGTGTTATCTCGTTTCGTATACGGTAATAGCTATCGCGTTGCTCCGCCGACGAGCCACGGGGGAAAAATATGAGGTTTGTATCTTGAATGATTGTGGCGCTGGTGTGTGTGGCATCTGATCCGTTTGGAAGTTTGGTTGACCTCTCCCTCCTGGTGTGGAAAGCCTCTGGCTATGATACACTGCTGTGTACACCTTTTATACACCAAAATACGTCCTCTCCTATCAAGGCGTTACTTAGAGAGGGAGAGAGAGACAACGAGAGACAACGAGAGAGAGAAAGAGAGAGAGAAAGAGAGAGAGATTCAGAGAGAGAGTCTCGGACGAGACCGCACGGGCTTCGTCTCAACCGCAGAATCCCCAACACACGATGATTGCAAACCTCTCTTTTTTTGGTGGGGGGGGGGGGTACCATCAGCTTCAGGCGGAGCTGCTCAAGAGGCCCTACGGGGACGCCGTCTTCGAGGCCCTGCGGCGGACGCTGGAGCAGGAGGAGGCGGTAGTAGTACGAGGGGGGGCAGCAGAAGGCAGCGGCAGCTTAGGAACAACGACAGGAGGTGATAACAGCGGCGGGGGTGACGTAATCACCGGCGACAGGATTTGGAACCGAGCGCCGGGGGTGAGCGACGAGGAGGAGGACCTGCGGCTGGAGTTCGAGCGCGTGGAGGCGGCAGCGAGGAGGACGGCCCTGTGGGCTGTGGCCCGCGGGCACAGGAAGGAGCTGGCAGACGATGTCCGGGTGATAATTGGTGTTGGTGGTGTCGCTGTTGCTGCTGCTGATGCTGCTGATGCTGCTGCTCGGCGTCGCCATGACACTGCAAGCATGCCCCACGCGAAGCGAGAATATTTGCAAGTCCTGAGAACCCCCGTCCCTCCGTGCGGCACCAAGTGGTCAGACGCACGCCCCGTCCCCGTTGCTCGAGTTCTCCCGCTATCCCTCATCCCCCTTCGCATTCTCTCTCGCTCTCTCTCTCGGTGTCTTGTTTCCTCTGTCCCTGGCTTATTCTCGTGGCTCTTTCTGCCTCCCTCCCTTTTCATACCCGTGCGACCTATGTCTCGTCTTTTCTACCTCCCCTCCGCAGGTGAAGTGGCCGGACGTCCTCCTGTCCATGCGGTACCAGAAAAACCTACTCCGGATGTACCGGGAGCGGGAAGCGGTGGACAACCACGAGGCTGCCGCTGCGGCGGCCGCCGCCGCCGCTGACGGCGGCAAGAGCTTGGCCTCTGCAAGGAAGCAGAGGCAGAAGGCGGAAGCCGGGGGCGGCAGCAAGAGCTCCTCCGCGGGAGGGTTTTCCACCGCAAAGAAAAAAAGGGCGGGAGAGGGGGGAGGGAGGCGTGGCGGCGGAGGCGGAGGCGGCGGTAGCAAGCGGCGTTCGTCCTCAACTTCCGCTTCTTCGTGTTCGGCGGAGTTCATCATGCCTCGCGACCACTTCCACGGACCCACATTCCACGCGTTGCTGAACGAGTACCGAGAAGAGAACTCGGCCGCGGCCGCGAAGAAGCAGGAGGAGGAGGAGGAGCAGGAGGAGGAACGGGACGATGACACCTCCGTTGCCACCGCTGCTGCTGCTGCTGCCGCTGGTTCCCCCGGCGACAAAGGGGCAGCAGGCAACAACAACAACAGCAACAACAACAGCAGTCCCGACCGAGGCAACACAGGAGGCGCGGACGCGGCGGGGGGGATGACGCAGCCGAACGACGCATCATCGCCGCCCGTCGTTGATGCCGCGGTGCCCCTTCCGATCGACGCCTACCGGGAGGAGATCCTGGAGCACGTCCGGAACAACAGGGTAACCGTCATCCACGGGGAGACCGGCAGCGGGAAGAGCACGCGCATCCCCGTCATGCTGGTGGAGGAGGCGCTAGACCTCATCGCGGAGGAGGCGGCCGCGGTGGCGGAGGCCGTCCGGGAGGGGGTGCAGGCCGGGGCCGGGGGGGGGCGGGGCACCGGGGGTGGAGGGGGCCGGGGGGGGGGCGGAAAAAACGGCANGTGGAGGAGGCGCTAGACCTCATCGCGGAGGAGGCGGCCGCGGTGGCGGAGGCCGTCCGGGAGGGGGTGCAGGCCGGGGCCGGGGGGGGGCGGGGCACCGGGGTTGGAGGGGGCCGGGGGGGGAGCGGAAAAAACGGCAGCGGCGGAGGCGAGGAGGCAGGTGTGCAGGCGGGCGGGGAAGGCGACGGCGGCGGCGGTGGCGCGGAGTCTCCCGCAGGCGGCATCGCTGCTGCTGCGCCGCAGGTAAAGCGGCCGAGGATGTTCGTTTCTCAGCCCAGGAGAGCGGCGACGCGGGCGCTGGTGGAGAGGGTGAGGCAGGAGGCGGAGAGGTCTGGGAGGGGCTGGAGCGTCGGGCTGAGGCTCGGGCACGGGGTCCGGGAGGGACCGCCCAAGGCGGAGGTGACGTTTGCGACGACGGGCTACCTGGCGCGGCTGCTGGCGAGCAACCCGGGGGTGCTGGACTCCCACACGCACCTCATCATCGACGAGGTTCGTCTTTGTGGTGCCGTAGTGTAGCCCTTTCCTGGTGTTTTGGTGTTTGTGTTGTCCGGAGAGAGAGAGGATTCGTCGTCGTCGTCGTCGTCGTCATCGTCGTTGTTGCTTGTGTGTTGCGTTTGTCTGTGTCATCGTGCATGTTGTCCTCGTCATGGTTTTTGCTGCTTGTCTGTGTCGCAGTATATTGCTGGTTGTGTTGGGAGTGTCTGGTGTTGCACACCAGCGCATCTGATCCCTCTCGTGCATGCTTGAGAACGACGAGTTTTTTTTGGGGGGGGGTTGTGTGCCGAGACCCCCCGGTTGTTCTGTTTCGGGAAGGTCTTTTTTCTCCACGGCGGTGGTGAGGTGATATTTGTTTGTGCTACTTTCGTGTCCACTACATACGTGCTTCGCGTGTCAGCCATCAACCCTAAAACCCTTATCTCTAACCCTCAGGTGCACGAGCGATCCGTGGATACCGACCTCCTGTGCCTGTTTGCCAAGAGGCTGGTCGAGACCCACCCCACCCTCCGCCTCATTGTCATGAGCGCCACCCTCTCGGCCAACCTCCTCAGCAAGTACTACGGACTCACGTCACCCCCTCTCTTCGTCGGGTCGAGGCGATTCCCCGTCAGGTAAGTAACTATGTACCTCGCGTTTGGAAAACAATCATATGATCACTGACAAGACTACCAATACCCATGTCGAAAGAATGTGTCGCACTAAGTCGTTGCAAAGGTGAGTGGGGAAAATAACTAAGAGGACCCACTGGATACTGGGCTTGTCTGAGTCTCTCTTTACCCCACTTTTTGCTCGACCTTTTTTCTGTTAGCTTTGTGTGCCACCGGAAGTATGTGTGTGGGAACTCTGTGACTACCCTACGTAGTAGTGGTTATTTATTTTGTAGGGGGGGGCTACAAATACCATTTCCCCTGATTGCTCCCGCCTTTCATCTCCCAAACAACAACAACGCCACATCCTCCCATCTCAGGCAAGTGTACGTGAACGAGCTGGCCCAGCGTCTCTCCTACCGCCGTGTGCTGAAGAAGGCCTGCGAGAGCATCGAGCTAGCCACCAGCGACGCGACGGCCAGAGTCACACCCAAGGTATGCATACAGGGTACGGGTTCAGGGGCAACATCTCTTATGCCGTCTTTGGCTCTCCCGTGTCGTTGTCGCCTGATTGGTCACAATCGTTCTTCAGATTGTTCTCAGGACCATATCCCTTCCGCCGTCTTGACTTTCCGTGATGTTGTAGCATGGGTGCTTTCAGTCGCGCTTGAGATTGTGCTGATTTCTTGTGTGATTTGCAATCGTTGCAGGGCGCAGAGGCATATCCCTTACTGCTGTCTTTGACCCTCCCCTGTTGTTGTCGTCTGACTGGTTGCAGTCGTACTTCAGATTGTACCTAGATTGTTTCTCGATAAACGGTCGATTTTACGTGCATACATACACACATTTCGTGGGTAATATGTACTTGTTTTTAGGTTATTTTCTTGTGTTTTGTTTTGTTTCGTTGTTGCAAAGCCTGAAATATTGTGTGCGTTGGTTGATCTCTTGTTTGGGGAAACGTTGTGGCTTATGTCCATCGTCTTGCTACCTTTTCCTTCCTTGTGGCAGTTTCGCCCTTTCAACTGATTGCTTGAACTTGACCTTGTTTTCCTCTTTTATGCATCGTTATCTCCTGCTTGTAGGTCGTCAGTAGGTACGAGATTGGTCTGCGTGCACCCCACCTCCCATTTTCTCCTCAACCGCGCTCTTCTGTGTCCACACTGGTCCTTTTTGTACGTGGCTGCTGCTGCCTTGTTGTTAGCTTTAGTTGTTGTCGATTCACAGCGTGGGGGACCACCGTACTCGCCCGCCCTATTTCTGTACCCACATGCTTGTTGTTTGTCATGTTTTTCAAGCACTTGTTGATCGCCCCATCTCTCTCTATCTATACTTGAAGTATATATATCACTCTCTGGTTTTGACCGCTCCACCTCTCTTTGCTTCCCCCAGGTGTTGAGCCTGCAGACTAACATGGCGGTGCAAGTGGCGAGGGCGGTGGCGTCTCCGGGGTCCGCGGTGCTAATCTTCGTCCCGGGCATGGCCACCATCCTCGAGATCATGAACCTCTTCGAGCTCATCTCGTCCGCCCACGTCTCCTACAAGGCTAGTGTCCTCTAAGTTATTTTAGTTAGTAGTGAATGGTTTGTCAGTTGGGTGTTGATAGTGTTGATAGTGTTGGTGTTGCTGTCGGTGTCGGTTGTTGATGTTGATTGTCGCTGTCGTGTTGTCGTTGCTGTCGCGTGCTGGTGGTGCTAGCAATTCGCTCAACATCTTCCACCACGCCGCGTGTGACCTACACCACGCCGCGTATCACCTACGCCCCCTCCCCGCGATCGGATTTCTTGTCCATTTATGTGCAAATGTGTTGGATCTTTGTGGTGTGAACGCCTCCTAGTCAGCCACTCCTCGAACTGCTGCTCCCACGTTTTTTGCTTCTCCTATGTTGTTGTTGTCGCTGGTGCTGCTGGTGCTGCTGGTGCTGCTCTTTGCTGGTGGTGCTTCTCCTTGCTGCTGGCACTGCTGCTGTTGCGATGCTGTGGTGGAACAGGTGATACCGTTCCACTCGGACTTGCCGAAAGAGGAAGTGATGTCGGCGTTTGGGCCGGTCGGGGAGGGGGTCGTGAAGGTGGTGGTGGCGACGAACAGCGCGGAGAGCTCCATCACCCTCCCGGACGTGGACAACGTCATCTGCCTGGGCTCCTGCAAGGAGGTGCGCATCGGCCTCTCGTGTGTGTCTGTGAGGTACACGAGATACGATTGCTATCCCGTTCTTGGTGATGTGACGTGTCTACCAGGTACTCTGCAAGGAGGTAGGTCTATCTCTCTGCGTTTCCCACCGCGTGCTTCTTTGTAGTAGGAGATAGTTGTCGCTTTCCAGGATAGCCGATGGCGTGGACGGGGCCGCACAGGGGGAAGAAGGCCTTCCAGCAACTTTTTCCTGAGGCCACGCGTGGCGGCATGGAACACCTGGGCAGGAGCTACAAAAGTTTGGTGTATTGGCAAGTTATTTTTTTAAGCCTCCCCGACCCCCCCCCGTCCCCCATTTTTTTTTTGCGTCCTGGTACCCCACATCGCTGCTGCAACAACACTGACTCCGTACGGTACAGATGGTGTTCGACCCGCAAACGAACCGGAAGACGCTGACGCCGGTGTGGATATCCAGGGCCTCGGCGGTGCAGCGGGCCGGCAGGTATACCCCCGCAAGTATGATCCTCCGGAGACCCCGCTCTATTTTTTTGCTTCGTTTTTGCATCACTTTACTTGGGTATTTCTGCCGGGTGGGAGCTCCAATCTGTGGTCACACCAGCGGGGGAAAAGAATCGGAAGTGCAGAACAAATGAAATTTATTAGTCTCAAGAAGGTATCCCCCCTCCACGGCTGTGCATCTGGGTAACATTTGTTATAGAAGTACCGATTGGCAGATTGTCTGGCGTTCAGAGTAGATGGGATGATATGTTCTGTTGGAGTGAGTGTTCCCTTCGCTCTTGAACCAGGTTGAGGATGGGAGGGGCGAAAATGACTCGTTGTTGTTTGTCCGCGAGGATCGAATGAACGCCTGTCTTGGTGATGGTTGGAGTATTCATGTTTCGACGCGAGCGTCCCTCGCTCTGGTTGGCTGGCTGGTTGCCCCCCCAGGCGCTATCTGTGTCTCTTTTTGTCACTCTGCGTCCCCTTTTCTTCGCTCTTTTGTCTGTCTTTCGGACTCTCTTTTTCTCCCTCCTCCCAACGCCTGCTCATTGCCCCCCCGCCCTCCCCCGCCGCCCATCCCGGCACACCGCGGCAAGGCGGCCCACCGTGAAGCATGCAGCTTGCCCCGAAGCTCGCACCGACTTTGTATGCCCTCTTCTCTGTTAGTGCGGTTATCCTGTGGGATGGACACACGACACGTGTATTCCCAACAGGGTCGACACACGGAAAACATTGAATGAAACAGGGTCGACATGCGACACCAACATTTGCCAACGAAGCAGGATCGACGCACGAAAGACCAAAATGGTTGAATGAGGAGGGATCGACCCGCAACATCGAACTTATATTAATAATATCGTGAATGAAGAAGGGTCTCCAAGCACACCAGCTCACACGTTGCTTTTGTCCGCCGCCCTCACCACGTTCACGCCCGTGTTGTCGTTGCACATTCTTCTCCGCAGAACCGGGCGCGTTCGGCCGGGCACCGTGTACAAGCTCTACTCAAGGGCGATGGGGACGGAGATCATGTCCGAGCACGGCATGTCGGAGATCCTCAGGCTTCCCCTAGACGCCCTGATCCTAGACCTAAAGAACATGATGCCCGGCAGTCCAGTGATCCCGATATTGAAGGTGAGGGCATGGGGGGCTCCGCAGAAGAATTCTACCTTAAGAACATGACGCCCGACAGTCCCGTGATGCCAATATTGAAGGGTAGGAAGGCTCCGCAGGAGCAATCAGGGGCGTTTGCCTAGCGACGCCATGGACATTCGTAACTGTGTCACACGATTCGTTTTGTGCGAGATGCGTACGCGTTGCATTCAAACAGCGAGGGCGATTGATGCGCCGGACTGCAGCAGAACGAAAATTCCCTGGGAGCTAATGCTGGAGAGATTGATTTGAACGAAGTGCTATTGAAACGGCTGGTGCCGGTTTTTCTTTTTCCTGGTCTACGAATGTCATACCTCACGGTCGAGATTCTCGACGCTGGGGCGGAAAGAGCAACGCGGCTCCCTTGTTCTTTTTCTTCAGTGTGTCAGAAAAACGTGCTTGTGCGATACTCCTAGCAAGCGTAGTGAAAAGCGGGGAAGCGCAAACAAACAACAGACACGCGCTGTAGAGTCGATGCAGAATCGAAGGGCGACCTCCACATTGTTAGCATTCCGTCCCGCCGTTGCGTCAACGTTACGCCTGGGCATCTCGACATGCGGGCCTGCCTGCCTGCCTTGCCTGCCTGCCGGCCTGCTGCCTACCTTACCTTGTGCTAACTACCCCCCGGACAAAATGCCGTTTGCTTTCTGGCCTTCCAGAGCACCGTGGAGCCGCCAGACCTTCAGTCCGTACACCGCAGCCTGGAGTCCCTGCACGCGATGGGATTCACGACGTCGCCCGACGATGACGGAGTTCTGACGGACACAGGGCGTTTCGCGTCGGGGTTGGGGGTTGACCTGGAGCTGGGCCGCATGGTGAGAGATTGGGAGGAGAGGGAGAGGGAGAGAGAGAGGGGGAGGGAGGGGGAGAGCGAGAGGTAGTAGAGAGGGAGAGAGAGAGAGAGA